AATAATTTATTTTATACTTAAAAGATAGTTACTAATTAAATAAATATTATCAATTTAGGTACCAGTATCCCTGGCAAAGAGAATATAGTATTTTAAGAAAAAACATAAGTGGCTCTCGTTTTCGGTCGTTTTGTAAATCAATGTTGTCTGAAACTGAAACACAAACTTCAATAGAATTTCTGAGAAAAACAGATTCAGAGCCTACTCAAGCATTAAAGAGTCCTCCATTAGTCAAAGAAATGATGAAGAAGATGGCCAGTTATCCTAGTGGAAGCAGTACGATTGAGAATGAATCGTATAATCAAAGTAGCAAAAATATTAAGAAACAGATTCCAGTGACTAGCGAAAACGTAAATCGCAATCAAAGATTTTTGTGGTATAATCAAAAACAATTTTCTCAATCGCCCCCTAAACCTCCAAGATATCTTCAAGCAGGAAAAGCTGGTAAAGAGACTAGAGATTTAGGTATTCAGAATGATAATCTAATTGAAGAAGTCCAGGAAGATAAAAGTGATCATAATTCTTCGATTTTGGATGGAGCAGTGGTTGCAGGAATTGGAAATGGTTCGGTTGATTCTGGTACCTCATCTCCACATCAGTCTTATTTAGTAGTGGTTGCTATAGATTTTGGTACCACATACAGTGGCTATGCGTTTAGTTTTACACATGATCCAGATAATATCCATATGATGAGAAAATGGGAAGGTAAAGAAATTATATTAGTATTTTATCATTTTTAATTTGAAATAAACTCATATTTAGAACTATTTATGACATGCATAGAAATCAATTGATAAACCTTTTTAAATATTTCGGTAGATCATAATGGCGATAGCTTGTACTTCAAAGTAATTTTATATATACAAAAATTTTCAAAATATTCTACATTTTTTATAGGAGGAGATCCAGGAATTATTACTCAAAAAACTCCTACTATTTTGCTTATGACTTCAGAAGGAGATTTTCATTCATTTGGATATACAGCAAGAGATTTTTATCATGACATGGACCCTCAAGAAGCTAGGAAATGGCTTTATTTCGAAAAATTTAAGATGACTCTCCATAATATAGAGGTCTGAACATTTATTTTAAATGATCCAATTCGTGTAATTAAACAAGGTAAATTGTAATATTTTTAAATTTAGAATTTAAGCAGAGAAACTAGAATAACAGCAACAAATGGGAAATCGATGTCAGCTCTAACGATTTTTGCTCATGCTCTACGATACTTCAAAGAACATGCTTTACAAGAGCTATCTGATCAAGCGGCCACTCGACTCCTTGACGATGATATTCGTTGGGTTGTGACTGTTCCAGCAATATGGAGGCAACCAGCTAAACAGTTCATGAGGGCAGCTGCTTATCAAGTAATTTCAAGTGCCAGCCTTTCAATGAGACATAATCAAAAGTTGTAAATCATTCAATTTTTTCAGGCGGGAATAGCATCTCCGGATTTTCCAGAGCAATTACTAATTGCTCTAGAACCCGAAGCAGCATCTATCTATTGCCGAAAACTTCGTGTTTATCAGTTAGTTCCTAATGAACCTTCACCTCAAAAATTGATTCAAAAACCCAATAATGGAGCTATGGATCCTGTGGTAACAGAAACTAATGGTAATATTTTAAAATGTTCTTCCGTTATTGATATTTTATAAACTGTTAATACATTACCTAAAAAAATAATTTATTTTTAAAGGTATACGCTATTCTGTTGTGGATTGTGGAGGAGGTACTGTAGATATAACTGTTCACGAATTACTTGATCAGCAAGGTACTCTAAAAGAGTTGCACAAAGCCACTGGAGGTCCATTTGGATCCGTTGGGATAGATAAAGAGTTCTTAACGCTTCTTGATAATATTTTTGGTGAAGAAATCATGCTTCAATATCGCACAAAGCGCCCAGCTGGTTTTGTCGATTTAATGATAGCTTTTGAAGCTAGAAAGCGAAACGCAAGTCCTTATAAAAACAATCCACTAAACATTTCTTTGCCATTTTCGTTTATCGACTTTTACAAGAAAACTAAAGGCTATTCTGTACGTTTAAACAGTTAATTTTTCATTACGGACACAATATTTCTATTCTACAATTAAAAAAACACTAATGTAAGATAATCTTCTTTTTTAGGTTGAAGCAGCAATTCGCAAATTTAACGATCCTAATATCAAGTGGTCATCGCAAGGGATGCTCCGGTTAAGTCAAGAAGCCATGCTTCGATTATTCGAACCAACTATCAACGCCATCAAAGATCAAATTACAAAAGTATTGGAACGTATACCAAAAATAGCATACTTATTTTTAGTTGGAGGATTTGCTGAATCTCAAGTTCTACAATATGCAATTCGTGGTGCGTTTTCTCATAAATTGAAAGTTGTTATTCCTCAAGGGGTAAGTTTAGCTATCCTTAGAGGTGCCGTGTTATTTGGTTTGGATCCAGGAATCGTCAACATACGCAGATCACGAATGACTTATGGCGTTGGAGTACTCAACAGATTTGTTCATGGTTATCACTTACCAGAAAAAATGATAGTGAAAGATGGTGTAGAATGGTGCACGGATGTTTTTGATAGATTTGTAGTTGCAGATCAATCGGTTGCCCAAGGTGACGTTGTTGTTAGAAGTTACGCTCCGGCTCGTTCTTCCCAGTCTAAAAGTGTTATTCACATATTTTCTAGTAGTTCTCATAACGTTCGTTATGTTACGGATGAAGGAGTGAAAAAATGTGGTACTTTAGTGTTAGATTTACCGCGTTCCACTGCAGAAATTCGAGGAGCAAAGAGAGAAATTCTAACAAGGATGATGTTTGGAGAAACGGAAATTAAAGTTACCGCTCTTGATGTTGCTACAGGAAAATGCGTTCGAGCCGAAATTGATTTCTTAAGTTGACTTTTTAAATAAATTTATCAAATATATCTGTATTATAAAATATTTTAAATGCCAATAAACATTTTATCAATAACTAAAGTTAATGTCAAATCGTAACAAATTTAAATAAAATCAAGCTTGAGAATTCATTATAAAATGATTCCACGATAAAATAATTTAGCTTCCCTCTTTTTTTCAACGCCCAATAAATCAGTTAAAAGAAAAATGTAATATGAAAAATGACTAGATAAGAATCACAACTACAAACATCAGTTGAGAGTGACGGTGACATACAATACAAAACTAATAAGGTTTGTTCTTTACCAATGCTCAGTGAATCTTCAGAAAATAGAGATACATTTTATATATATTAAGTTAGATTTAAATATAGCTGAATTAAATTTCATTTGCACACTAGACACTCTATACCAAAGCAAGGATGGATTTAGAGGGTATTTGCAGGGCGCAGCTGCACCCCTTACGGCTTTCTCGAGTAAAGCAGGTTACGTCAGTTAGTAAGAACTTTTAAGTCATATTGTTTCCTTTCTTCATCCCCTCTAAAGACCTTTTGATCCACTATTGACCAGGACTAGCCTTTACATGAGAGCTGCTTTTTTTTATACTGACATCGCTATCTATCAATGTCTATCAATCTAGGAAAAATACAAAATTAAAATCTGACATAGGATAATACGAGAGATAATCTCAAATCTTAAACTTTGATCAAGGTGTTCGTCACTCATAGCATTTCTTATTTTGATTTTAAAATGATATCGGAAAATGTGAATTTGCAAAGCCCAAACAAGATATTTTTTGTACCGTTTTGGTCAGAATCGAGTATTCTTTTGATTTCAGATATGAAAAGTTAAAGAATTTTTACTTTTTTCAATATAATCCAATCACGAATCATTGTGAAAATTTTTGAATGTTATTAACATATTTTAATTTTAACGAATAATTTTAATAATTCACTTTCTACAACTTTTCTGCTTGGCTATACCTCTAGATTAATTTTAAAAATGTTTTAGCAATACAGCGATGTTTATAAATTCCGATTTTAAAATTTCTATTGCAGAAATAAATTTAAATCGATATTGATATTTTTGATATAATAAGCAGCAACTTTTAAATTATATTATAATTTGACAAGATTTTTTATTCCCTGCTTCACTAATATGATGATTTTCAATTACAGTACATTCACGTTTATTGTTTTCAGTGTTTGCCTTGTTGTTTTCGGAGTTTTACTTATTTATTATTTTATATCTTCTTTTAAGCCTTTTGCTATTGCACGCTTAATAAGTGAAAATATAAATATCTTTTTAGACCTTTACATGCATTAAAAAGTAAAAAAAGGCTGTATTTTGTTTTAAGCCTATAATATTCATTTTACAGCTGTTGTCTGACCTAACCTGCCTTATTAGCAAGGCTATAATCAACACTTAATCTCAGTAGTGGCTGGTACAAACTTGTAGTGATGGGGCTTCAGTAAGACAAAAATCAATATGGATTGAAAAAATTATATCATTAATGAAACTATTAATAAAATATATACTAAGCATGTAATTTACATATGATAAATTAATAAAAATTTAAGAATGGTGATAATAAAACAAACAGGAAATTTCATATTATACAGGAGAGGCTGCAGCCCTTATGGACAAGCCACCACTGTCTCATTTGTGAAGTTAATCAAATTATGAACAGATTAAATTAAATATTTCAAATCAAATTCTTATACCTTAATTAATTTATTTACTTGCATATTCAAAAGCTATAAAGTCGACTGATTACATCCATTATTTCTGACTAAGCAAATATTCTACTAAACTTCTACATATTCTACTAAATATGATAGGTTGAATATCTATTTGAAATATTTAATTATTTTAGTTAAATTTATTCATAATTAAACAATATAAAGATAAAAATATTACTGTGATTCAATGTTAAATAAAAAACATCAATTAAAGCATTTTATTTACAATAAATAATATATACAACTGTTGTGATTATAAAGAATACATTCTAAAATGGTTTATTTCAAGAATAATTAGTTTTAAAGCATAAATTATAATTATTAAAGGATATATAATGGTAAAATATATATATCTTTATGAAAATTAACTTTATACTATTTTTCAAAGTTCTCATTAGCTTCATCTTCAACAATGAAGGTAATGAAGTTGTTCTGTAACTTGTTCTATCATTTGCACACTGAAATTATTATTAAGAAAATATTAAATGTTAAATTTAAAAAGAATATAATATACAATACATATTATTATACTAACTATTAGATTAAAAGACAATTAATTATATAAGTAAATTTATATGATTTAAAAAGCAATTTATATATTAAAAAAATAATTTATTGATAATAATCGTAAATGTTTCATAATCACATAAAAAACTAAGTCCAAATTATACTAATACAGTAATCAAATGATAGAGCAAGATAACTATCTGTATAAATAATTAGTCAAGTTATAGTCAGATGATTAATTGGACTCTATCATTTGATTATTACATAATCATTATCTCTGTTAAAATTATACATAAAACCAACAAAATAGAATCTAATACATAGATATGCTCACATTATAAATTATATTGAGATTTAAAGTTGTTACAGCAGATAACTTCTTATTTTAATAATTAGTTAAACATTAAATAAAAATAATTTTGAAAAATCTTAAATTATATTATAAAAATTATTGGGATTATGACATCAAATTATCTTTTGTATTCCTTCCTACATTTAGAAATTACTTTTGCAACTTTTAAAAAATGACATTTAGGTGAATGTTTTTGAACATATTTTATCTTCAAATGTGAAGATAAAATATGTATAAGTTTGTTGTTTGTCATATTGTTTCTAATCAATTACTATGTGTTCTTTTTAAATTAACATTTAAAAGGAAAGTTCCTATATTGGTTTTTTTTTTTTTACAATTTTCATCATGTTGGCATGCAAAAAATAGATTATTAACACAATCCTAACATAACTTAAAAGCCTTAAACTTGAAAATTGTAATAATTTTCCAAGATTTTAACTCAAATCTCACTTTTTCATTATCATCACTTAATCATTTTTAAAAATTGAAGAGCAATATTTATTTTTTTGGAAGAATGGATATGACCTCATTACTACATAAAGTAAATACAATGTATTAGGTTGTTGCAAATGAAATGGCCAATTTTTATTTCTGTCTTTAAATGTTTATTAATTTAATTTAAAACTTACATATTCAATTGAAATTGTCTCAACCAACATTAATATATTTTTCCCAATGCAATAGAAATGCATTAAAGTTGCAAAAGTTTACTTATTGAGATGTGAACCAATGATCTTATAAGTATGAGTAAGGCATGCTGCACACACATTTTCAGTCATTTTAATTAAAATTCAATTTTCTTGAAAACACACTTTTCTTCAAAACATACTTTCTCTTTGTTCAATAAAGGTTTATACCAAGCTTATCCACATAAACTGTAATATTTAAAATAATCTTTCCTTTGTTAAACATTGTCTTTTTGCTATGTACAGTACATTTAACTCATTCATTCTTAGTCATAAAAGGATATTTGACATATTAAAATGGTCAAAAAATACTAAACTAAATCTTCAAAACATATTTTGAAATTCTTAGTATTTCGTGAATTATAAATAATTTCTTATAAAAAACTTATCTTGTAAAAGAAATATCAATACATAGCACATTAAATACATTATTTTATGTTAAGATATTAAGCAAATAAAAATATTTACTTAAAGGAAATCAATGTAGTAAAATTTAAAATTTGGAATAAAATTCATAACATACCTCTTTTGAATTGAATCCAATCTGAAATATAAAATATTTAAAATGAATACAATATAAATTAAAGCTTAAATTATGTGTTAAACTTTAACAATAACAATTTTGTATTTTATCCTTCCTATTGTGTTTTGTGGTCTATATGATCCATTAAGGCCTTATTCTACTTATAACTTCTGTTTTAATTTAAAAATTTTAGAATATTTTAAGTTATAAAATGTCACAAAAATTTAAAGTGTTTAACAGCTTCTATAAGTTATAGTTTGATTATCCTTTGATTTTTTGTTATTTGTATATTTATTTTATTTATTATATTTCGGTCTACATGACCTATATTTAATATAATGCTTAGTAAGACACACTAAATAAGTTGTAACCAATCTAAAACAAAGATTTCAGATGAATAACACTTATGAACAAGTAACAACAGTTGTTTTAAATTTTGCTTATAAGATGAAAGGTTATGATGTAACTTGCAATATTTTTTTTACAAACTGGGACAGATCTCTTGAAAAGAAATATGACAACGTTAAGTACAAAAAAAAAGCCAGAATTACCAAAAGATCACACATACAAAAAAGACTTTTTCTGTTTGAAGTTTTATTCTGTAAACAATTCAAATATAGTTTCATATGCTCCAAAGAATAAAATTAACATTCATAAGCACATGTACTATGATGCTACAGTAAGTATCAGTAATGACAACATTACTAATCATTACATAATCTTGGATTATAATAAATGCTTATATCATTATGTTATGGCATGAAATAAATCCAGAAATGCATAAAACAAAAATTACAAGAAAGAATAATTCTTGAAAACCTGGGTGAATCCTTGATTCAACTGCTTATACAAAAAAGTCATCATATACTTCAATTCAAAAATTTGCAAGAATTATCAAGATATTACAAGGGACAAATGAAACAGAAGAAAAGGATACTACTAAAATATTAGAAAACAAAAAAATGTAGCATCTATAACTGTTATCTAAAGATAAAGTAAATATTTGTTGTGACTACTCAAATATTTTTGTAAAACACATGTCTTACTACTGTTAAGACTGTAAAAATAATTTTACTAAGAAAAGATATTGTCCAATATTCTTTAAAAAATGTTTTCTTTATATTTTAATATCTTTAATTAAAGGAATCAAAATTAAAAAATGTTAATTTACTATTGTTATTGTGTCATATTGATCCAAACACAATAACTGCAACACAAAACAGAACAAATGGAAAGATTAATTTAATAACAAATATTATTATTATTATATTTGAAACTTATTTTAAATTACTATTGAATTTTAAGATAATAACTTATGATAATACTTAAATTATTATTTTTCTATTATCATAATAACAAGAGCAAAATTTCAAAACATGTACAGAAAATAAGAATCTGTGAAACTTTAAATTTTTAAAATAAAAATTTTTTATTTTAAACATTTTCAGCAATGTGATCATCTTCAAATTCATAGTATTCTGTTATTTGTAAGCTCTGCAAGCAGAAAATGTCCAGATAATTACAAAAACACGTATTAAAATTTTCTTTGATTACCTGAATTAAGCTATCGGCAAACTCATTGAAATATACATAATAAATTTTTGTGAATTATTAATTAAAAATAGCATTTAACACTTACTGTAATTGAAGATGAGTTGTCATTAGTTGCATCCTTTTTAAATTCTGTAAAAAAAAAAAAAAAAACATGGTGTTATCTATAAATAATAATAATAATCATAAAAAGAGAATGAAGAAAGCAAGCACTTACAGCTTCCGAATTTTCAATAGCATATTCTTGTAATGCAAAATTACGAGCTGTATGCATTAATGTCTAATAAAATGATATAATTTAATAATAAAATCATAAAATAAATACTGTATAAAAAATGAATATAAGTTGAGAATTCTGTAAATTGAAAATTTGACTCCCCCCTTTGGCTCACATCTATTGTCTATGCCAAATGTAGATAATAATGTTGTGAGAGTTCAATCCACCATTCTTGAGTTTTGCAACATTTATGCAATGTAATATACACTGCAGTTTGGCAATCTAATGTGTGATCTGGCTTGAGGCAATGTGTTTGCAACACACAAGATGATACCAGGCTTATGATATAACCTAGCATATGTATATCTATACATATATACAGTTGTGGCTGCCAGGAGCAACAACACTGAAAAATAAAATAAACAAAATAACTCGAGACAATGGCAACACTCACTGAACTCTGGTGGGAAACTAAGTATTTTTGCATTGACTCTTCTGGTAAGCACGTGCATATACAATATGTTGCAAAAGTTTCTTTGTGTACCATCATCATTTAATATATTGTGTTTGGAGATTAAATGTATATATTTTGAGTCAAACTCTGTGATAATCTGACTGATCAACTGCACCACCAAGAGAGCAAGCAACATGTAACCAAGATCGTTGATAGGGGTACAATGTGACCTCTTTGTCGAGTCCACTACATAGTCAACTCTGTTTAAGAGAACTTATTCAGACTCTGTTCCATAACTAGCTTTTCATGTTCCCTATGCAAGATTTTACTTTTGGCTCCTCTTCTTTTGGAATATATATATAAACAAATATGATAGAACTGGTTGGTTATTTTTTAACTTTAACCAAAAATGTTATGGAATCTGTCTCATGGCAGCTAAATTTAAAATTTGAGAATGATAATATGGACCGTTTATTTTGAAAGTGGTGTAAGTCCATTTTTGGAAAAAATTGAGAAAACAAATAATATACATACAATTTAGTGTGAACTTTTTATTTATAAACAATTTACACTTAACATTTTAAAATAACCATAAGCTTTGATGAATTGAAAATTTATTGGTAAATGACATTGCATAACCATTGATTTTGAAAGTGGTGTAAGTCCATTTTCTACAGTCTAAGCACTTGGGCTATCCATAAATTACATGTGCATTTTTCTGGAAATTTTTACTTTCCCCTCTTGTCCCAGTTTGTCCAAGTTTTTGTAACCCCTTTCCCTCTATGGATGTCCAACATAACTCTATCCCTGTTAAAACCTTCATCACTTTATGAATGATAGATACCATAAGTAGAAATGAAACATACAAGAAACTTTGAAATAAATATAATAAAATGCATATTGTATAAAATTTAATGAAATAAATGGATGTCCACTAATACTCAACCCTCCTTGTCCAACTTGTCTTAACCCCTCCCTCCCTTTCAGTGTGGACATCATTTAAAGACAGCCCCTTACAACAGAAGAGTAAAACTGTAAATATTACCAACAAATGTACAATTTGATGGACTAGAAAAAAATCCATGTAATGAATCTAAATGAAAAGCAGTGTCTAATGGTAAGCTCATAATAATGATAAATTTATCATAAAATAGTTTAACAATAAGTAAATATTTTTAATGTTCAGAATAAACAATACTATTTTATTTCTTGTTATTATATATGAACAAAATCAGAATAAAACGCAATGTGTTTCAAGTGACATTGAGTTTTACATAATAGAAATTTAATGAATTTTACAGTTTAGTAATTATGAAAGTGGTGTAAGTCCATTTATGGCCCAGAAAGAATATATTAGTTTGGATAAATTCACATAGAAGTCTTTATGCAATCAACTTACATATTTCTAAAGTCATAGAAACATTGTCAAACTTAGTACACTTTGTTTATATTTTTGAATCAACTAAAATGCAAATGTTTAAATATCTCGAAAGAAGAAAAAATGGACTTACACCACTTTCAAAATAAACAGTCCATATAATACTGATTATTTTTTTATACATTTTAGTATCCCCTCTTTGTCTTGAATTGTGCCAGCTGTTGCACCTGCCTAGTTACAGCACTGTCCATATAGCTATAGTACCTTATCTAAAGTAACAAGAACACCCTAGGGATTGTTAATGGTATTTGATTCTGTCCCTTGTATACATGTCTTAGGAATGCCATACAATATACATGGAAACGTCAAAATTTATCAAAATCTTTCCAATCATTTATTCAATCTTGTAAAATGCATTATAGCTGGCAAAATTTTCTTCTAGACATTTTCTAGTATGCTTAAATGAAACTGCATCTTTATGAAAAACAGATTTACTTGATTCACAAACAATTTCTTCTTCATATTTTTCCACTCATTTTCTTTTAATCATATTACTTACTTACTTTAACAAATCTCAACAAAAATTGTAGTATAGAGAATCCTGGGTGATGATGTACTGTACAGTACCTTATGATTAAAGATACATCCCTGTAAATTTTCCGTAGAATAGTGCTACCTAATATGGGGTGCTGCTCTAAAAGAGCCACTGATAGTGTGCATTTAAATGGATTGCTCTACCAATCAATGCTCTATTAACAGGAGTTCCACTATATGTAAAACCTAGAGGAGAAAATTAGAAGTGTAGAAGAGAGTTCTATTAAGTCAGGGGTTCCCAGCCTATATTTGTATAAACCCGTTTTAAGATAACTTTTTCTTTTGATTTATTGCTAAAATCTTATCAGGGACACGACACGTGGCGGTGTCGTGTCCTCTAATTCGAGAACGGGAGTCTGTCCACCTTGTAATATTATTGTATACATTTGGCATGAACAACAGAAGGGATGAATCGAAAGTTAAATTTACAGAATTCTCGGTACCGAATTCTCTATTCTTAACAAAAAAAATGATTAAATGTGCTCACTTCATTAGTTTTAGATCCTCGAATGACTTGCCTCGTAAGGGATCCTGCGCTATTTACGTTAACTTGAATTCTTTCAGATAAACGTTGCTTGGATTCCGTAAATAAACCTCTAGCACTCGAAACTGTACTTCCCGTGGCCATAATTATATATAAAGAAGCTTAAAACACAATTTTCTTCCGCCACTCTCTCACTCGTGTTTACATCTCTTCTCTTACGATTCCCGAGCGCAGAATAAAACGAAATAGTTAAAAATAAATCAATAAAAAAATATATAAATTTAATACAATTTTTAGATACAGAATCTGAAAAATAATTAATTTAAATGCGATTTATTAATTTACTATAACGTAATTTTATTTTTTTATTTAAGAAATTCGTTTATATCGTATCTCGTGTTAGTGATGTAGAGTGTTTGTAAACAGTTTAATCAATTTGTTTTAGATTTTTAATCATGAAAGGCATTTTAGTATTTGATGAGTTGAATGATGTGATTTTTATGAAAATGGACGAGAGTTTACAACAGCATTTTTATACGGTTGGAGTTCAGAATGGCTTAATTAATCCTAAAGTAAATATTAATCATTTTATAATGTTTCTTCACAATACATATTTACAGCTCAAACATCTCAAGCTGTATATAAGCTACATATAGTGGTGTGTTATGCTACTGGTCTTCACCAATTGGGGGCCCAAACCAGTCTTTTAAAATTCATTACTGTGGTAAGAATTAGAATTTGGGCCTTATCTGGAAACCCTAGATTGACTGCGCTTGGCAGACTCAACAGTTCTGGAACCATAGAGTATTTTTCTGCTGAATGTCCTCTACGGTAGTGCTCTTTCGGTGTTTTGACATCACATTTGGTAGCATCTTTCATTTACGCTACCTATCGCTACCTGAAACTGACTGATGAGGCTTTTTGTTCCGATGCAATGTCACTTGTCGTTCGGCAGATCCAGGTTGCTATGTAACAGCTACTGATTTGCTCGGTTACAACTGCTGAGTCTGCTGAACACAGCCATTGTCTGTGTAGTGCAGGTGCAGGGTGCATTGGGGTATCGAACTTAACTGCCGGAAGTCATGTTAAGAAAATGAATGAGGCAACCGGGAATTCTCCTCAAAAACTTTTACTAAGGAATTAATGGTAATGACATTTATTTTGAATAATTTGATTTTAAATTTTGTCATCAGAATTCTACATGGGGCCCTCTAATTCAAATTTGCCTGAGTTTCATCAAGGTATAATATGCCACTGGCTACTTAAGCTTATACAGTATATAGCTTACCTCAAGAAGTTATACAATGATTTAACAGTTTTGAGGTGCTTCTGCTTCTTCCATTGATATCCACATGTAAATAAATAAACAAAATTTCAGAAAAATCTGTTGTCAAGGAGTTAATGTTATTTTTTAAATAATTTTTATATTCTTTTAGTCAACAAAAAGTACTGGCTTGCCATACAATGCTATAAAAAACAAAATAAAATTTGCATAAAAATATTAATTATCAATTACTACTAGCTATCTAATATTGTGTGTTTTTAGTTATAAAATAAATGCACATCATGTTCAAAATTAAAAGGATGTTTCTGATTTTTTTTAAATTAAAAGAATCATTTATGATGATGTTTATTCATTCAGAATAAATATTATGGCTGAATATTTATATAACATCATAATTAAAAATTTTGAGTTTGATTGTTTATATTTTAGATCAAATTTCAGTAATATAACTTGTGACAAGAATAAGTGCAAATTATGACAATATTTGTAATATTGTTATCATAGTTAAAGATTGTCACTGTCACCATCGCTGTTAGATAAGAATAATTTTTTAAACTAAGAGTTTTACAGTAATTTAAGATTTTGAATCTATAATTAGTTAATTTAATATAACAGTATACAAATACATCAAACAAAATCTTTACTATCCAGTAAATAATTTTAATGTAAAATTTGACAAACATTTTTGATCTTATGCAATATCTGCATCAGATCAAAAACATTCTAAATTGGAATATGCAGAACCAATTTCAAAATTTTTAAATAATTGAAACAATGTTGTTGACATGATGTAGATCTTGTGTAAGATCGAAAATATTTTGTTGAATTTTACATTAAATTATTTACCGGTTGGTAAAGGTTTTGTTTGATGTATTTAGTCATTGATCCAGTTATCAAGAATCAAGAATGTAATTTTACCAGTATATATATATATAAAAGAATAAATTGATTATTGTTGATTATTGTTATCATTATTTCTTTATTTTCAGATAAATATATTCTTTTATGCTTTCTTTTTATGTAAGCAGTCTCAACATATGGCTGATAACATGCAATCATTAACAGTTATTATTATTGGTTTTTTTTTTTTGACATGACCATTTAATGTTAGAGTTGAGAAAACCAGGGTTTCTTTTAATACAGTCTTATTACTTATTATGCTTAATGTTATCAATGTACATGAGTCCTAAAGTGATTATAAACAGTTCATGTTAAATTTCACTTGACAATATTTCAAATGATAATGATTGAAATAATTTATCACCAACTCATATCATTTCAATCATCTCAATTGAGAACATTTAAATTTAAATGGTTCCAGCTGAGCTACTTTAAATGACATCAACTGATATTTTTACTAAGGAATTAATGATAATAACATTTCTTTTGAGTAATTTGATTTTAAATTTTTTCTTCATTATATAAAAACTGGATAATTCTATTAAAAAGATGTTATCAAAATTACATAAAAGTCATAAATTATATATTGTATATAATTTATAAATTTTATCCAAATCAATTGAACTGTTCATTTTCTTTTTATCAACAATTTTAAAAACAGGAATGATTATTATTTTTTTGATAATATCTTATTCTATATCTATATTATTATCTATATTCATTAATATTTTAAAAATTAATATAAAATATTTCAATATTTTTGTTTTTATTAATATAGGAAAATGATAAATTAACTAAACATTCCATTAGTAAGGATGTAATGGTACAGTTATTTTCACCCCTTATTGCTTCTCAAAAAGTGATGCAAGCACAATTTTTTAATATGTATAGAACAGTGGAATGCAATGATGGAACTGTTATGGTTTTTACTGAGGTATGTGTGAAATTTTATATACATCTATCCCAATATTTTTCTTATTGTTTTAATTTTTGTTCTGTGGGCACTAAGAAAGCATTTTTCTACTACACATATGAGATTGCCCAAGCCCAAAATAGGGATGAGGTGTGATATATCTAGTACATTTCTTGAAGTTTCTGATTTGGACTCAAACCTGGGCTTCTCAGAGTAGTTGCTAACTCCTTTACCATCTTGCCATCTGCCATCCATTTATTTTAATTTATGCAATGTTTGATTTATATAATTTTGATACAATATAAACTTTTATGTAATAATAATCATATCTTCAATAATATACTTTTTGATAATACTTATTTTATAGATTAAAAAATAATATAATAAATTTAATTTCTTTTACAGTTTTTAAATTATTTATTTATTGGAATTGGTAATCTTGAAGAAGATACATTATGTTTGGTTAGGCGAAGATTGGGTATTTTTGTATCCCTTGTGAAGATTCTTTATGGTCCAGCAATTCACTTGTGAGTAAAAGTTCTATTTCAACAGAAGGTATTCATAATAATTGATAATTAAGTTAAAGGTAATGACACTGAAAATTTTCATTGCACTTATCTTTTTCTAACAGTTAGTTTTTATAAATATTAACTTTTTTGATATGGGATCAATGTGACCTTAGGTATTTGCTTGGTGTAGTCAGTAGCTAATTGCATAATCAATTATACTTTAATATCAGTACAATATTGAAAAAATTGTTTAAAAAATATTGAAAAACAGGAAGATATTTTATTGCAATTTATGAAAATAAAGAAGATAACTGTAAAAAGTGTTTATTTGATATGTGTTTATAAATTCATTATTAATTCACTTTTATAACCACTTAAAAGGAGTTTTTTTTAATGAATAAATGGAAATGTACTTGATATCAAATTTTAATTCTCAATTGGTATCCTCCTCATTGTTTTCTGGCACACAAATATCTGTGTGTTCTAAACATAGATATTTGCATGCCAGAGAAACAATGAGGAAGATATCAAATGAGAATTAAAATTTAATATCAAATGCAATTTGGAAAAGACAAGAATACGTGAGATAAAATCAACTGACGAAGGATAATAATAGGCCTGAAATGTACATATTGGTCTAATAAAATCTCAGTGAACTTTCCAATTGAAAACTGTGGGCTGATAAGTCCTACAAATTGATAGCAGATTCAAGAGTAGCTATTAAGAAGATTAATTATTTTTTTATCAAACTTTAAATTTATAATAATGACAATCATGTGACAATATGTTACATAATCAGATTAGATAGTACTAAGCCTTATTAGATTTAATTCACATGAAATGATAATGATTGTGATAATGGAGGAAGGAGGAGCTGATAACTGATATGTCATATCAAATGAATGAGAGTGAAAAGGTTTTTTGTTAAAATGTTTTGTTTTCTTGATTTTGGCATAAAAAATTTTTTTACAAGATATTTTAAATTTTCAGACTTTTTGGTATACTATGTTTATAATTTTTTAATGTCTATGAATGGAAAAAATTCATTGTAAGATACTGCTGTGCAATTGTTATGAACTTAAAGAGTCTGAAATGCTTTTTGTAAAGTGTGGCACCATAGAGAAACAAAGTATTCAGGCAAAACAATTTCTGTGTCATATCTATTTTTTTATTTTTTATTATTTTTATTGATATAATTTTACATTGTAAACAATAGTATACAAAAAATTACCATCCGACAAAATTATACAATATATGAAATAAAGTTAAGTATGCATTTTCTGATTGCATTTTGTCTCTCTGTGATATACTGTTCATAGTAATTTTAAAGCATACATGAAAATTGGCAAAAAAGACTAATAAAATGGTGTATAATTAATTCTTGTACATAATAAAGTGAGATTTATGTAAATAATGTTATACTTCTGATGATGTTCCTTTCCTATTGGTTTTATTCTGGAGTCATTTCCTAAAACTTGACTAAAGGCTGTAGTTTATGTATGATAGTGTCTTATCCATGAAAAAGTGAATATTCCTTTACAACATTTGCTTTTGCAGTTTATACATAAAATTGGCAACAGACCATCCTCTTTTGTAGTTAGAAATAAGTATTAAAGAGTACACAGAATAATGTTTTTGAAATTAATTAAGTGGCCATCTCTATTTTGCAACCAAATTTATGATTCCAAAGTGTGACAATTTAAAAGTTTTAAATCAATATTTTATGTATTTTTATTCTCAAAAAAGAATAATAAATTATGCTGAAAAATAAAATAGTTTTATTTTGATAAAACAAATGAAAACCTGTATTTAAGTTTTTGAACTCAAATATAGCAAATTTATTTCAAATAATTTATTATCATTAATAATATAACAACTGTTTAATCTACAATAGAAAATTAATAATTATATGTAATGGACTGACTTTTACATACAACATTAAACAATTCAATTTACAAATTAAAATTACGTGGAAAAATCTCATTTATCAAATAAAATTTTAGAAAACACTGAAAGATTGACAATGAAATTTTTATTTTAAACTTAAAAGAATTTCATTATAGCATTGTTGTTTGATGTAACCTCTAAACTAATGGTTCTCAAAATATGGTTGGTAGACACATCCATGAACATTCTGCAGATAGTCCTCAAGATTGAAATAGTTATGTTCTAAAAGCAATTTTGTGTTATTTAGCCAGAGGATTAAAATATCTTCACATATTGCATATCTTTTATATTAAGTTACAGGACAGACAAAATATTATGGCACAAATTCAAGGTGATATTTACAAGATAAGGGAGTGGACAGGGCATAGGAGTTCCACAGTTCATCCATGACTTGGCTTAAATGGTCCACAGATTAATAACTTTAAGAACTCCTGCCCTAAATAAAAAGTCCTTCATAGTGTTAGTTTCCTATCAAAAATTGTTTTAAAATAGTGTTACATTATTATTGTCAATACTTTGTAATCTAATCATATCAAGTTTTATTTAAAAATGTAACTTCTCCAGTATATACTCAATCACACACAACTTTGAATAGCACCAAAAAGATTTATTCAACATAAAAAACTAATGAAAACTCTTATTGTTTAAACTTAAATATCATTTGATTTCTATTTACAATACTTACTACTATATTTGCAATACTATTTCAATTAAGTATTTAGTGTCTTAGCATTTTGTTTGTTATTTATATTTTACCATTTACTTTTCTTCATTCTCAAACTAGAGCTTGCTTATTATTTACCACTAAAAGGTGTTTCATCAGTTAAATTTAATGAGAGGAGCTATTAAATTAGAATATTACTGTTAATTATATCCTAGTTATATTAGAATGAGATATCAAATATAACTTTTCAAATATGTGTGATATTTTATTCCATATTTTACTGTAAAAGTTATGTTTCATTATTTCATTTTTGTTTTCATTACTATTAATCACTAAAAGTAAATTGTTAATTTTAAATCATTGAATTTTACAGAATGAAAGAAATTGAATCGTATGATAAAAGATGTCATTTCTTATCTAAACTTCTAGATACATGGGAATGTTTGAGAAAAAAAGAACAAACTTTTCTTGTTGAGGTACTGTACATATATACAATATTTTGTGTTCTTCAATGGAATGAAAATGTTATTACAAATTATAAGGAAATATCTTTATTTGTAACTTATATAGAGCTAATTTTAAATGAATGTAATAATTTTAGAATGGATAGCTTAAGATTATAATAATTTTATTACATGATTTTATCTTTTAATACTTTACATAATCATGTTGAAACATTACATCACTCAACATTACATAACATTGAACATAAACATAATATTCTAAAATATTTTAATGAAGATAAACAAATTTTTATTAAATATTTTAGAATGTTTTATGATGGAAATCAGAAATAATAGCAAAAATGCCAACTAAATGTTAGTTCAATAAGCTAACATTTAGTTGGCATTCCAGTCCTAATATCTTTTACATACTCTAAGATGTACTCCATTTCTAAATGTTAGCCCATTGAGCTAACGTTTAGTATGTAAATGATATTAGGTCTGGAGTGCATCTTGTTTTGATAGTTACAAGTAATCTTTTTTAAAAATATAATACTTACTCACTTATACTCATTACTTTTTGAGGCTATGCAACTGAAGAGAAAAATTAAATTGCATTTTTAAATGCATATTGTGATCAAGATGTCAGATAAGAGACTACAGATTTGGTAAATAAACTTTTCTAGCAAAATATGTATTATTGAAGTCTCACATTTAATTATTTGAAATATGTTTATTTAGATAATAAAATTTTAAATAATAAAGAATAAAATTTGCAAGAAAAAATTTAAAATAGAGATTTTTGAAAAATCAAATGAAAATAGTTAATTTTAGTTTTCTTTAGTTTACATAAATGATATAAAGAAATTATATGGATTTTGCAATAAAATTTTTATTGATTTTCTTATAAATTGATTTTTTCTTGTAATTTATACTATAGTTAAAAAGTAGAACTCTGTTCTAATTAAATACAAATCCCTGTTTAATTGCTAGTTTAGATATTTCCATGATAATTCTATTTTTTAGAACAGTATTTCTGTTCATAAAAATTATGGTTTAAAGAAAACTTTATGGAAATTTTATTCCAGAAACTATCTAATTTCATTGGTAAATTAAATGATTTATAGTGCAAATTTTTCAATCATCTTGGCAATCAAATCCTTCCTAGCATTGAAGAATATGAATAATGTGAAACATACAGTTATGATTGCTTAATTTTTAACTTAATTATACCAGATATTTAAAAGTATATTTTAACTTTAATTTACATAAATTGTTTATGTAGAATTTTTGTTATATAAATTAATTTTAATTTATATAACAAAATTTTAATTTATATAACAAAAATTCATTAAAAATTCAAATTAATTTGTTTCAAATAATTTTTGAACTATTTTGTATTTTAAATTTATCTAACAAGTTTTATTTTGTTATTTACATATTTGAAGAAAGTTGAGTAGTTCAAGTAAAAATTTTAGATTAATTATTAGTGAAATATTTAATTTCATTTTCTTGAAAAAGAATAAGGAACATAAAGCATTGACAATTTAGATTTAAGAACAATTTATAATGGATCTAGAATTCTAAAAATGATGAGCTAGTCTTATTCAAAGTTCCAGATCTATGTAATAATAACAGTCTTTAAAATCAGCTAAATAATAATTAATTATATATTAAAATTAACTTTGACAGTACATTAAAGTATTATAAATTTTTATACAGGCCATTGAAAGATTATTGGTAACAACTAGCTTGAGCACTGAATGTATAAATTTGTTGCAGAAGGTTTTAGAGAAAATGAGATCTGTTGATTCAAATCAAGACTCAATTTGTCACTCTTTTCTTTTGGTAGAAAGTAAATTATTAGCTTTTTATTCCAGGTATGAATAATATTAATACTGAAAATTAATGACAAATTAAAACTTAAGATAATAATTTTTTTTAAATTATATTCTTAAAAATAAATAATAACCATCACTAAATGATAAATAATGGATTATGTAGATAGGATATGAATGAATAGTATTTTTATTTGTTTCACTTTACAAACTAAAAATACTTCATTTTCTTGATTCTAAGATGTACTTTTTACCCATTTTTTTCTTCAGAAATGCTTCTTAAAATCAATTTTTTATGTCCAAAATAATTCCAGTCCAAAACATTACCTCTCTTGCGCATTTGTTGTTTTTCTAACTCATTACTTAAAACTAAATAAAATTGATTATTTAAAAATTTTTTCCTTTGTAGAAAAAATCTTAATATTCAATTTTAAACTCATGGCACATATTAGAATTTATGGTGTCCTAGAATTAAGAAAATATGATATTAGATTTTTTTAGATAAATCATTAATCTTGTACTAAAAGAAATTATGCTTAGTGTTGGAAGTAGTAAATATGCTTTTAGTGAATTTCTGATTATAATTTAATTAAGCAATAAACTTACCAAACCAGAAATTGCTTTATATCAGTGGTGTGCCATGACATTTGATGATAGGGAAGCTGTGTTTCTGTAAGAAGCCGACTTCCAGGGGCAATCAGTTAATTGCATGTCAGTGATGGTCTAGGGTTCATTCATATTCATTTGTTCGATAAGCCAATAAAAACTGTAGACTTCTCTAAATGTATTTTTAAGATCACAATTACATTCTGAATCGCTAGCCACAATATAAGGGCTACAATTAAAAATAAAATAATGAAAACTTGCTTGGTGAAATAAAATGGTGGATGTACATACCTGGTACAAAATATTCTTCAATTGTATGAATATACTTTTAAAGAAAATTATAATTAATATAGCTTTGTAAAGAAACGTACATAAAAATAACAAAATATTCTTTACTTTTTAAACCTTAAAACAATCCACTTAGTCAAATAGCTCCCTACGAGTGGCTAATAGAGAATCAGAGTAGGTTGCAGTGCGTACATACACGCAAACTGCCAAGTTCTGAGGGTTTCGATACTGGTCAATGTCAAATACCTCTTTTGTTGCATCACTAATATACCTTGAAGGGCATGACAGGGTTGTTGTAAATTTTAAACGTTTCTCGTCGTAGCTGTAAAAATCTAAATATGTTAAACTTAATAGATTGTCCATCGTTTATTTTCTAACTAATTCGTTTTAGGACTAGGTGTCCATGGAAATTTCCAAAATTTACTTTTCAGTCACTCTCATTGAACTGGAAAAATTTCTGTCTTTATTACATCTAATATTATGAAGAAATCAGTCCCCACTGTACTTGGCTAGAGATTGGTTTGGTTAAGATTTTGTTTAAGTAATAGTCCAGCTCTTTCAGCAGGGTTTTATTTATATCCCTAATTCCCAAATCTCTTAATTATTTAACTACTTCTTAAGTAGAAATAAGTTGAAACTGATTACTTTGTACTTGAATATTTATAATCTTGGGAAAAAAGTGGAAAGACAAATTTTATGACAATGGATACATAAATCATAAATTTAAGGAAAATAAATTCTACAGCTTTTTCTGTACTTTGTGCATCTCATTCATTAAATTTAGTTGTAAATGATGCTGCCAAAATAACAGTTAATTTTTTAACATTGTACAAGAATTGTGCAAGTTTTTTCCTGCATCCCCTTATAGATGAGACATACTAAATCATAATATCACTAGTTTAACATTGAAATCTGTTATACAAAATGGGAGAGCAAAATAAAAGCAGAATAAATATATCAAATATTTTAATGGATTTTTTTTAAAACTCCTGTTAACTATACAGAACTATCATAAAAACATACCAGTAAACTCCTATTGGTTGGGTTAAGTTATAAATCTACTTGCGATTCACATAATGGGGCGAGGGCAGCCAAATATCTAGCAAGCAGGCGGTTAATAGCCCAGATCTGGTCTGGAATAGAATCATCGAAAGCGTTATGGTGTGTAGCATCCACCAGCTAAACTGTGTGAGGTTGGTGCTCTGTGAAGCACATGTGTGAATGCATATAATCTGGCTGCTTGGAAACTGTCCCACATTCGACAATACAGCACTTCCATTCTGCCACTGATATTTGAATAAACAATAGCAATCTTATCATTTTCTTCATATGTAGTATAGAAATTTGTAATAAGATACATAATGCGGTTATAATAAAATATTAATTTTAATTAATTCAAAGTATGTTAAAATACAAAATAATCGTACAATATGTCTTAATATTTTAGAAAATACAAGGGAATTGGCGCTTCCAAGGATGGCACGCCACTGCTTTATATTATCGTTTTATTGCAGCTAAGGTTTTCCAAATAATAATTTAATATTGTTTCATATATTCAAAGAAAAGAATAAATACAAAATATGTATTATAATGCATTGTATTAATTATTTATTAGTTATAAATATTATACCATTAAATAATCAGTAATTATATAGTGAAGCATCAAAAATCCAGATCTAATTGACACCACCTCCATTCAAATTTTCAAATATACTTTTAAATTAGCATTTTAAATACTGTAAATTCCAAATATGCTGTAATTCAAGATTAGGTATTCTAAGATCAAGCCATCTTTTCACAAGGAATGTAGGAATACTTACAAAGATTCAGAATATAATTTACATAATCTCTATATTTAAGAAAAATACACAAAAGTAATCATAATTTAAAAAGTAAAAAATTCTGAATTCTGAATGAATGTTAGAACATCAACAATGCAAAGCCAAAAGAACATTAATAATCAAGTTACCATTGAAAAGGTTAATTTTCATTTTTTGACAGTTGAATTCAGATTTTTGACATCCAGATTTTCAATGCTTCATTGTATTTAATAAATTATATGTTTTATTTCATAAATGCCTGTTTTTAATAAACTTTTTGATGTTTTTTTTCAAGTCGAAATGCTGTAGAACTTTCAAAATCGAGCTTACTAATGCTAATTTTATTAGCTTTGACTACATGTTCTTCACTTGATGAATATAAAAATATTTTTAATAGTACAAAATTGAGTGATAGAGAATCTCTATCAAGTAAACAACAAAGCTCAAATTCTGAGGAGGTATGATTATTTCTGAAATTAAATATAAATATTGTCATTGTTTTTAATTATATTCTAGTAGTTATGTTTCATCTTTCTATAATATGATATCTTATTTTATATATAAAAATATAATTTAAAGATAATTTCATTTATTATAAAGTTACAAAAAATATATATAAGTGAAGGAAGACACACAAAAGAGTGTGTTTAACTTCATTATTGAATTAAAGCTGTCAGTATAAAAAGGGCCAATGTTCAGCAAACCTAATTTTGCATAAACTGCATTTGCAAAAAACTGAGTTGTATGAGCATACTGAAAGATACAGTCTTTGTGATTGAACTAAATGATAAATTACATTTAATTTGTCTATTTATTGGCAGTGGCAACTGCATTTTTGACAAGGTTTTCACAACAGTGAGGAACAAAAGCTTTGAACTTCAGCCTGTTTTGAATTGGACAAATAACAGATTATTTCTTACAAATAAGAATTATTTTTTTTTATTAAATCTCCAGTGTATTTACATTTCATTTTCTATGTAGACAACTTTCTAATATTTTTCTGAATGCATGAAAAAATTTTATATGCAACATTTGTGAGTAAAGCTGGGTATCATATCCTTCTTTTCTTACTCTCCTTCTGATTAGTCATAACTGGCAATTTCTTCACTCAATACATTTACTTAGGTACTCTTGTGCACTTTGAGAGAAATAGGTTAGAGTTTTCTCATGCCATGAACTTTGGCAGCTTTAAGAGGTACTTGAGCATCACACAATGTAGGAGCAGCTAAGTTTGGTGTCACATTATTCTACAGTATGAGAAAGTTTGTTTCCACTGACCCAGTCATAAACTTGACGACTCATATTTATGATGTGCATTATATTGTCACATCCATGTGTTAATTTATTAGAAAAATAAATTACTTTAGAAAATATTGTTGTCTAATAATTTGACACCAAAATATTGTAGCTCAGGTCTCTCTTATAAAGTAATAATTATTAATTAATAGATAATACTTGAAAAATTTTACTAAACTAAGAATGAAATTTTCCTAGGATTTGTTTTTATGGTTCTGTTACCACCAAATAATGAGTGAATGGTTAGAGCAATTCAATAAGGGCTAAATATTCCTGGACATCAGACATTATTGATTTGTCTCAGGATTTCAACATGCTCCCATGTAACACTGAAGGGAAATTTTAGTCTATCTTATGTACTACACGATGCAGCTTGCCTTAGAGACACAATTTCACTCATAAAGTGAATACTGATAAAATATGGACTTTGGTCTTTTTGAATTGACAGATTCCATTGTGTATATGGAACAATGTTAAAAACTTAGGTATTATTAATATCTAATACTTAGAATTAATGAATGAAATTTGCAAAATATCTAACTTGCTAATTGCCTTGGAGTATGTTCAATGATATTGTTAAATTTATTCCAATAAATTAATTAATAAACTGAGAAATTTAATATTGGGAATTGATTTAAACAATAATACTATAGTATCTATACACCATAGAAATATTAATAAAGAAGATATATTAGATTAAATTTTTTTTTTGCAAAGTAATTATTTTAATTATTCATTATTTCAAGATTAAAATTATTTTAAAAATTGGCCTTTTATATATTTTTTATTTTTAGTACTTTACTCCACAATCAAGTATTTCCTCAAGGATGCATATTTCAGAGAATGAAAATGTTCATAGTAAGTAAATTATTTAATTAAAATTATATTAGACTCTGTACAATATATAACATTTTCAAAATTAAAAAGAAATTTATGTAAAATACAGATATGATAATTTAATTTTAATTTTGAAATAGAAGTTATATATATCAGAAATGAATTTGATTTTAAACAATACTAGAGATTAGAATTATCAGGTTATAATGCATTTTTAATCAGTTAGAACTAGATTAAAAAGTAAATATTCAGAAACTTCAGTAGAAACTTAGCAATATTGTTCTGTCAAAATATGCAATGTATTGTGTTATTTACTTAAATACAATTTAAAAAAAGGTAATGCTTTAGTTAGGATACACCAACGATTTTCCTCTTAATTATATTTTCAATAGAGACATACATGCTAGACATGTCCAAAACACATCGAATATGTGATGGCAAACTAATTTAAAAAACGCTATAAACAAAAAATCGTAGGACTACTTACCGACTGTGCACCGCCATCGCTGAAGCTTGTTTTCGTCGTGGAACTGCACACTGCAGGGCGGACGCGCACACAGCGTGTCACGTGACCTGGCTTCGACGTCAGTCGCCCACGTGACTACAGCTCTGACGCGTTTCCGGACAACTTTTTCTCGTGGCGGAAGAATTCGTTCTGTTTGCACTATACCTCGCAGGCGTCACGTGATAGA